TGGGAGCGCAGCTGCCCCTGGTGACGGTCTGGTTTTCCCCGCAGGCAGTACGCAGAGGCAGGCGCCCTGGACGGGGCGGCCGCGGGCGGCCTGGAGGCGGCCGAGCAGGGGCTCCTCTGGCACGAAGACTCCAAGCCCGGGACCTTAGTCTGAGCGGAGCCACCCTGCCCGCGACCTCACACTGTGTGCCTTGGCAAAGCGTGCGTCTTCCCGGGGGCTGTTTGGCATCCGAGGATGCAGAGAGGACTCCCCTCCACCCGACGTGAACCCCATCCTCTGCCGCACAGGGCCCCGCGGACACCTGCCCTTCCACGTCCCAGCCTCCCCGGCGATCGCAGGGCCACCGCCTTCCATGGCCCAGGCAGCTCGGCCTTCCCCGCCAGCGCCAGCAAGCAGGCGGTGAGGGAAGAGAAGCTGCGGGAGGCAAACCCCAACTGTGAGAAGCTGCCAGGATCCCCCAGGGCAGCGGAGGGGGCTTGCAGAGCACAGTTTCCAGTGAACGGCCGGGGCCACGGCCAGGCTGCCTGGAAGCAGCTGAGAGCTGCAGGGAGGACACTGCCCAGGAACAATGGACAGTATTGGAGAATTACTTGAAGAGGAGCTGCATTTTCATGAAGTTCTGAGCGAGTGCACACGTGTTTCGGGTTGATGGAGTGACGGTCTTCACAAGCACCACACGGTGGGTCCACACAGACTTCGCATGGCACCCTGCAGTGACCCCCGGGGCCGGACGGCAGCCCCAGGAGCTGGCCCCTTGCTGGGGGGCACCCAGGTCCCAGCCCCCCCCCCTTTCCTCCCTGCACCAGTGGCATGAGGAGCTGTTATTCAGGCTGTTCACGCTCCGACGTGGCTGTCATTTGAAATGGCAGGCTTGATATGGAAAGTTCATAATCAAGCATTTGAAAAAGTATTTTGAGGTGATAACGGAAAGAACCCAAAACAAAATAAAGGAAAAAAAAAAAAAGCACATCATTTTAGATGAATTGTGTGCCTTAACATGGTGACTTGTTAGAAGAGTGAGCTATTGCCTGAATTCCACGGGAGTTCTAAGTCACCGAGTGACACAAACCAGATTAGTCGTTAACAGTACAGAAACTCCGAGCTGCGGTAGATGTAACTATGAGGCTAAAACTACCTCATACTTTCCGTGGAAGAACTAATTAGCTACGGTTGTGGTTGAGTTTTTTTTAACAGATATTTCCATATTCCAGACCTTTGTCTGCTTTACTCTGCTTCAGAATTCCAGTCCAGGTGCTCCTTCCCCCTTTTATACAGGTTTCTTGTTCATATTGTGACTAGAGCGGTTTCTGAACAACTTTTTGGAACATTTTCTATCTATATTCCAAAGCATGTAGTATTTACATAAAGTGGATTTGTTAAACTGGTCCTTAGTCATTTGTATCATTAAAAATGAAGTTTGGGGGGAGGGGCGTTGGAACAAAAAAAGACATGCAAAAAATAACATTCCTTTTGCATTTGTATAGCCTTCTAGAAACAGAAATACCCTTTGCATATTCTTTTACTGTTCTGACTTTTTAAGACCTATTATTTTTACATAGGTCAATAAACTGAGGTGTGCTACTGACAGTGTTTCCGTATCCCTCCATTTAAGTTCACACAAGCAGTTTAAGGTGCTCTGCTTCATTATAAGTACAACCAATGGACATAAAGCTCTGGGGAGGGAGGGGATGTGTGGGAGGGAGGGAGGGGGAAAAATCAATAAAATATGTAAAAATAAATAGATAAATTAATTAAATTTAAAAAAAAAAACTTCTAAAAAAAAAAAAAGGTGCTCTGCTTCAAGTAATCGTGTTGGACAAGATTGCAGATTGTCAGTTACATAAGTATTACCATGTTTTATTGATTTCAAGATGCAAGTTTTTTATATTCACATTCCTGAAAGCAAAGTGCCTCTTGATTGATGGCATGTTCTAGTTGAACTGGTAGTTTTTTCTTGTTTAGGATGCATAAAATACCGCTGTGTCTTATAAGAACTTGTTTTAGAATTGATGAAATACAGCCTCACTGAAGTGAATGCTTAGGCTTTCTAATCTTGAGGGTGTTTTCTTATAACAAGTAATTCATCCCACTCTTGCTGACTAGCAAACAGGGCTTTAAATCTCAAGAAAACATTTCACCTGACATTTTTTGTCCTGCACGATGGAAAGAGGGAGTAGGAAATGAAATACAGGAAGATGTTTATTTCCAAGCAAATGCCTTTCACAGAAATGATCTTTTCATGTTCAAGACATGGTATACTCAGAATTGCCAGTGTACCTTGCTAGAACAAGTAGAACTTGGCTCCCAGATGGGAAAAGAATGGTGTGAAAATGGAAGCAGAGTGGGCCCACTATATGATGACTTCCACTGCTGAAGGGCTTCACGTGTTATATTCATTTAATCCCCACAACGGCTCCATGAGGAATATAGTGCTACTAGAGGCCCAGTGCACAACATTCCTGCACTGGTGGGGGGCCCCTTACCCCTCTCACAGTCTGGGACCCCTTGGGGTATGTCCACCTGCCAGCTTAGATCCAGTCCCCCTGGGTAGCAAGCCTAAGCTTGCAGGCGGACTTCCCATGAGGTCTTTAACACTGCTGAGGAGGCAGGAGAGACTCCCACCAACACCACTGCACTCGCCAGCCATGAGCCTGGGAACACACTGACCACGAGGGGGCAGCTCCTGCATTGAGCGCCTGCCCCCTGGTGGTCAGTGCCTATCATAGTGACTGGTCATTCCACCATTTGGTTGATTTGTATATTAGATTTATTATATAGGATTATCTCTATTTTACAGATAAAGAATCTGAGAATTAGGCAGATCAAGTAATCAGCCAAACATCATAGGGCTATTAGGGGAAAAGCAAAAAATAGGTCCTAACTCCAAATTCTAAACTACCTTGCTCCGTAACAATTTTTCTGCAGTAAGGGTAGCAAACGGTGCTTTTAAAGTATATTAATGAGAATTTGAGCGAATACATGCCACGTTCAGCTTTCCTTGCTCATTACTCTAAAGATGATGGACCTATTTGCTCCCATTACAGAGGCAGAAAGGCAGGTCAAGATAACCCTTACTTAGGACACTGCCGAGTCTCTGGTGGCTGCCCACAAGGCCGCATTACTCACTGCTACGTGGGCTCATCAGTGGACCAAGAACATCTAACTGTTTTCTCCCACCAATGGCCATATGTGCCCCGAGCACAGCAAGCCAGAGAGAACTGAGGGTTGGTCAGTGGCACTGACACGCATGCAGCCCCATTTCTGATTGCTCAGGGTGGTGTGACATCAGGAAGTCCCCGGGCCCTTCCCCTCGCCCTAAAGCGAGGAGAACTTAGCCAGTTTTAGAAACTAAAACAACAACAACAAAAAACCAACAAGACAGCTTACACCGGGAGTGAAGAAAAACAGGGAATAGGAAAGAAGGGTGGGCGGTCTGTGAGCTCTCACTGTAGTCCCAATAATGGGGTGCGTGCTGCCACCTCACTTCATTTCATCCTCCCCACGAGGGAGAGGTGGCCTAGTCTCAGAAAAGAGCCTCAGGAGGGAGGATGAAAGGCTCCCCGACCTCAGTCACCTGGCCTTGCAGTGAGGTGTAAAGCTAACATCCACGCCTATGCCCGCCTGACTCCAAACCTCAGGCTTTTTATTACCCATGACATTATAAAAAGCAATTGCTCACCAAGCACCTCTTGGAAACCAGGGAAAATGAAAAGGGAAGAAGCAAACAAAAGGGTTGGCCTGGGGAGGAAGGAAGAGGGCGGGCCAAGGGCAGTGGGAACCAGATTGGCCGGTGAAAACAACCGGGACAGACAGCCAGGGCAGCTGCCGTCCGGTTCCCGGCTGAGCAGTTCGGCCTCTGACCGGGCGTGGCCGGAAGGGCCATCGGATGAAGGGCCAGCCAGCAGTCGGCTGGCCGATACCTCTAAACGGAGGGCAGAGGAGGGGCAGAGGCATCTGAGGAACGTGCTCTCCAAGGCTGCTGCGGAGGCCCAAGGGCAGGGCAGCTCCCCACCCTGCCTCGCCCCCATCGACACCCTTTCCCAGAAAACCCTCTTCATGGGGTCCTCTCCTCCCGTTCAGAGGAAAATGGCTCCATGGAAAAGGAGATCAAATGGGAAGCGAGCGTGAGAAAGCTCTCATTAAGGACACGGACAGGCCCGGCCTGGGAAGGGCATCTGCCCTTCAATTACCGGAAGGAGCCTTTGTGGGGCTGATGGGTGTCTGAGCCGTGGGCTTTGAAGTCAGGTCCCAGGTGGACCCCTCCCGCCGCCCGTCCCTGGTCACACGGACTCGGACTCGGCACACTTCTTCACCTCCGCCTCCAGGGCCTCAGTGTCCTCTCAGTGCACATCACACAGAGGCGTTTGCTGGGCTAAACGAGAGAGCACACACACACCTCAGCATCGAGTCCCCAGCACATACTCCATTTCTTTCCACTTCCTGGAAAGAAAGCTGGTAAGGGATGCTGGATAGTGATGGAGCCCTGGAAAGCTGGGGTTCTGAGATCTCACTGCTGTAGTTTAGCCATTGAAACGGCAACACTGTTGAAACAACTCGTCATTGTCAGGGGCTGATTATGTCCCAGGCCCTGTTATGGGCACGTGGGATTCGTTTTTGTTATTTGATCATTACAGCAACATGGCGATCATTCCCAGAGGAGAGCTCAGGGAGGGGCAGCCGTTTGCTCAAGTTCCGTATCAGAAGGGCCCCAGGTCCGGAGTGCAGTTCACAAATCATAATGCAGAAGGCCCATAGAGTGTGAGTTTGGCCGCTCTGGGGTCCATGTGGAGGGAGGCTGCACTGGGGTGTAACCCGAGGAGTCAAGCCAGCTGGGTGTGTTCCTGAGCGCTCCTGCAAGGCGGGGACCCAGGGCGAGGTGCACCCCCAGAGCCTGAGAGTGAGCACCTCACTTGCTCCACCCTGAACTTGGCCCTAACCCTGGCCCAAAGACTGGTATCTGCCTTGTTGTGTGCCTGAAAGTGCAAGCCAGCCAGCCAGTAGGTGGCCAGATTTAGCAAATTAAAATTCAGAATGTCCAATTACATTTGTAAAATAGCTGAAATGTTAATTTTTTTTAATTTCTTTAAAGCTGAATACAGAACACTTAGGACATCCTGAAAAAAAATTGGTAAGCACACCAAACACAATCCATAACTTCAAAACCTGTCCTGTAGACACAGGATGCCGGGCAGCCCTACTGGCTAGACCTCTGTCCAGGGTCGCGTGGGGCATAGATGCTTGAGCGAGTCTTAGTCGCAGCATTAGGGAGGGCCTGTCACACCGTCTGCGTCCAAGGAGAGACTGGCCCTGCTCAATCCAGAGCCTTCAAACCAGAAGCCTGCCCGGCGGGCCCGCCCATTTGGTGTGTGAGCGCGCACAGGTGTCCCAGTTTGGTCTGTAAGGAGGCACAGCCATGTGGGAGAGCTGGAAGAGCATGCCTGCCAAAGCTTTCTTTGCTGAAACGTGGTTTTCTCTGGCCTGGAATCCCGTCTACACAAAATTGGTCAACGAGGTCATCTAGAGGCCAGGTTGGGTTATTGCAGGCAGGAGGTTTCCGATACTGTACAAATACTGTATACAGCAAGCATGTCAAACTCAAAGGATAACAACTCAAAGGCATGTCAAACTCAAAGGTTTATGTGGGCTGCAAAAACCCAAAAGCTTCAATTTTCATAGAAATGTAGGTTTATTTCAATAGAGACATGCTGAATGCAAAGAGCTGAACTAAAAGTAGTAATTGTTAACATAAAATAACATTTTAACAAAAATTAATATTTTTTTCTTGAACATTAACTTAACAGACACTGAATAACCACACAAATTAATAAGCATAGCGCAAATATACCTATTTTTCTTGTTCTCGGAAAGCAAAATATTTCCTGTTGCACACAGCAAACAAACCAGTCCAAGACTGGGTGAGTTATTTATTCAGGTACAAAACATAAGGGAAATCCAGGTGACAAGTAGTACTTTAGTGCAGTCTTCTAAAAAATCAAACCTCATGCCAAAAGAGTCTATGATGAACCAATCAAAAGTGTAAACAAAGACTGTATTGCCACCACGGCTATGTCCTTTTGCCTCAGACCGCAGTGTGGCCTCGCACGCACGGTGCTGACTCTGACTCCCAGCAGGCCGAGGGGCAGTGTCACCCACACCTGTTCCACAGACAGATGCGGAGAGGAACTGCCGAGCAGCACTGCCTGGGCCATCGGAACCGGGCCTGCTCTTCCCACAGCAAACCACCTCACCCTGTGTCTGCCCTTTCTCTCTGCTCACACTTCACCTTCACCGAGGCCACAAGCTGCACTGCCCTGGCTCAGGTGTGATTTAAACACGTGTTCTGTGTGCACAGTTGTCAGATTTACCCAGTAAGCAAAGAATACTTGATTAAATGTGAAGCTGAGAAAACAACAAATAATGTTGAACACGTGCATGTCTCATGCATATTCTTCATTTTATCGTACTGTCCTCCTGCCCGTCCCATCACCAAGGCAACCAGACAGTGTAATAAGGAGAGCTCACAATTTCAAAATGAAGCAGAGCTGCTGGACTAAGCCTGCTGTTTCTGCCTGAGCACTGACGAGG